TATTCAATAATAATAATAATAAGAAGAAGAAGAATAAGAATAAGAAGAAGAAGAAGAAGAAGAAGAAGAAGAAGAAGAAGAAGAAGAAGAAGAAGAAGAATTGTTATTATTATTATTAATAAATAAAATAAAAATAAGACTACCGTGTGAACTAAAGAAGCACCACTTCATCAGCCTTGTCAACATAGCACTTTTTTAAACTACAGTCAGCGAAGTCAAGGTGGCCAACTTAGTCAGCTTTCTAATCAGTCAACTTAAGGCAAGCTACCCCAGCAGGTAACTAACTTTTAATTTTACTCGTGCCAAACGTCTTGGTGTACGCCTTTCAGTTCAGCACACGTTACAGAATTACTTTAAACTCTTGCACGTGGAGAAGAAACATCTACATTACAACTTTTAAAAGAGGCACCGAATCAGAGTTTGAAGCATTTCAAAAAGCACTGAAATCTTCTATACAGGGAAACTATGGAGTCTTAGTCAGCTATAGAGACAATGGAGAAAGAAAGGTTGACCGAACCAAAGGTTTTTGTCAGCAAGGTTTAACAGCGAAAGGATACAACTGACTATACCTGGAATGTAATTGCTCACTTGAGACGACATTAAGCATAACGTACTGATCACAGGTATAAAGTAAAGAGTCTACCCAGTCTGTCCAAAGACAATTTGAGTCTTCATTCTGGAAACACACTCAGATTGTGTTACATTATTGCCAGAAAACGTAAACAATCTTTGTTTAATGTCAAATAAAGAAAGCAACGTTCTTCATTCCTCCTGATTTAAATGTAGCAAACACATACCGAACTGTGACTGCACCAAACTCCAATTGTTGTGAATTACATTGCTAATACTTCTCCAGAGTTGATCTAGGAAGCGTTAAATACAAGAAACTATATGCTATTACTATCTATGCTTTAACTTCAAATAATCAGTAATCAAAATGTATTGATTGATCTGGATTTTCTCTTTTCAATGACACTGTAACGCTATCTTTTATGCAAATGTCTTTAAAATATAGAGCTCACAAATTTTTATTTAAGGTTATAATGCTATGAGAATTTCATGCCAACCCATGGATACCAAAGAGTTTAGCTACTGAACGTCTGCCTACTCTCACCTTAAATTTGTTAAAAGTGGAAATCTGTAAAACACTCTAAAGCTTGCCTCTGCTTAAACCAGCAATTACCTCCCATGCTCCAAAATTCAGTCACACTAGCTTGAGCTAATCCGAGCATTAATTGGATTTCAAAGCAAAAGGAAGAAGAGGAAGAAGAACACCGTCATTCACTTTGCAGGAGCTAAGACTCATCAGCCTGCTTGATTTTGATTGTGAGGGACGTGGGAGGAAAAACCCACACAAACAGAGAACACCCAGGACAAAAAAAAAAAAAGGAGAATTTTAATCTGCCATGCTGTGAGTGCCACTGTGCCTCCGTTTAAAACTTTTTTATTCATGAAAGGGGAACATGTGATTAAAAATAACACAGAATATATGAGTCATCCAAGTGGCACATCTGGATTCGGTTTTGCCAGGTTTGGCTTTTGAAAGTGATACAATGTCAAGCAATGAGGTCTGTCTTTTTGTCTGCCTAATCACCTTAAACTAGGTAAGAGCTTTAACCTTTAAGTGCTATACTTCTTCAACGTGGAGCTCCGCTGGGGTATTGAGGTTCCAATAGCTTGAGTATACAACCTCCAGCCTGGCTTTTCTTTGATGTGCTCCAAAAGCAATGGCCTACCAGGAACTGAGAAGATCAAAGACATGCGATCTTTATCAAATGGAGCTCTTGTCGGCTGTTTGTAATGCTTTGCTCTTCATCAGCAACACCCACTCTGTCACTACGATGCCACAGGAAGCACAGTGCTCTTTTAAACCCAGTGGTGATCTCTCGGTTATCCAGATGAAAAAGGATTTATTAAAACCTCCCATCAACCAACTCTATAAATAGAAGCTCGTAGAAAATCTTCTGAGAGGAGAAAAAAAAAGAAAAAAAAAATAAGCTGTACTCTTAAGCTGTTATTAACATGCGAACAGAAAAAATATGTGAAATGTTATTTTGAAGCAGCATTTTTTTTTTTTTTTTTCCCCATGAAAGTAATAATAATGCTTCCTGGTAATATGTCTGTCGCTACATCATACAGTAATGGAAAAAAAAGTAATACAAAGCTGAATCATACTCGCTTCCACTGCACTTGTTACTTGACCGCAGGCTGAATTTTAATAGTAATTTACATCAGATACTGCATGCATTATTGCTTAAGGGACTGAAGTGGTTGTCGAATTGCACTTAAAGTGGTTTTGTCATCCATACTTGTTACATTATTTAGAGAATGACTCATAATAGTATTACTGTGTAAAAGTTATTTTTAAAATAACAGAAATTACACAATTCAAACATTTCCTACAGATTTTAATGCTTTTAGCAACTCTTGGGGGAGAGTTGACCAAACTGCTTAACAACTGCAATACACATTCTGGTATTTGCCTGGATAAGAGAACTGCCACCTGTTTTCCAGGATGCTGCTTGTTTTACTTCAGAATATCATGTTTCTGCTAGCAAAATGTTTCTGCCAAAATCCTGAAAGTTAATTTATTGTTATCGGGTCTGTGTTCATCCTTTGTGTCTAGTGAGAAATTCAATTAAACTCAATTACAATTCAAAAATGCTTTATTTTTTTCCCCAAAGGGACATTAAATTTTGTTGTAACTCATATCAATTAAAGATTCAGTGAAAGTAGCTTTCTTGAAGTATGCCACAAATTAAACTGTGTGAGGTTTTTATCTTACCTTTGTTTTTGTTTTTTGCGTATTTCTGTTAAAACATAACCATTCACGTGTCTAAAAACAACTTTCCAGAGATAAGGAAAGAAAACAGCACATATCTAATACCTTGAAAAATGCCCTCTTCTAAGTGTGCAAACCTAATTGAGAAACTAAAAACGATCCTTATCATGACAGCTCATTAATGTGTGAATGTGTGGGGATGTGTGTATATCAGGTGAACGTGTGAATTTCAACAGCAAACAGATACCATTATTGTGACATTTTCTCCAGTAAGCATTCCACTGCATAAATTATTGCTGATTTCCAACACAAAAAAAGACGTTGCATTGCTCTATGGCAACACCGAATGGGCAACATACCTGCTGAACACCTCAAAAACTGTGACGGTTTTATTCAAACATTGTTGATTACAGTGTCTTGTAAAAGTATCAATACCCCCTCGTGTTTTTCACATGTTCAACTGTAACAACTATAAAAGTAAATGTAGTTTATTGGGATTGTATGTGATAGATTACCACAAAATACCTCATAATTGTAAAGTGGCAGGGAAAGAATACACATTTTTACATTTTCTTATAAAAACTAAATGTGTGGCATACGTAAAAATCACTACATTTTACTGCGATCACAGCTGCAACGTCTTGCACATCTAAAATTGTTGACCACTTTTATTGCAGAAAATTTCAAATTTACTCATGTTGGACATAGAGTGCTTGTGAAACATTACTGGCCTGTGAACTAGATCTATCTGAGAATCTTAGTGTAGAATCTCAGAAAGATTTTGTTCTACATTATTGAAAAAAATCATCTTTTGAACTCAACAATTACACTGAAGCTCTGATGATTAACGATAGTGTCATCATCCTGCCAAAACGTTAACCACAGTCTCAAGTCTTTCCCAGTATCTCACAGGTTTTCTGATTGTCCTATATTTATTTCCATCTTTCAACTCTGACCAACTTCCATGTTCATGTAGGAGAAAAGCATCTCCACAGCATCATGCTGCCACTATGCTTCATAGTGGAGGTGGTAAGTTTAAGGTTTTCAGCCACACAGTATTTTTCATATAGGCCAAAAAGATTCTCTAATCTGACCACAGGAGACTCCCTCCATAATATTTGCCATTTCCTGTACATAGCTTGTAAATGTCAGCAGATTTAATTCATATGAATTTATTTGAATAATTCAACAATCTAACCACTCTTTCATAAGGAATATATTTGTGGACTGTCCAACAGATTCTTCCACCTGAGTTGTGGATTTCTGCAGCTCCACCACAGTTACCATGAACCTCTTGTCTGTTTGTCAGTGTAGGTGGACGGTCATGTTTGACAATCTTTTTTTCAGGATATTTTACATAATTGTCCCTGAGATGCTGGGAGCTTGAGATATTGGGTGTTTTCTTTTTTTCGTTTTTGAAGGCAATTCAGTCCTATTGGATTTTGAATTTTACAACATTATTTTCCTTTCACTATGCAATTTTGAATAATGATTGTCTATCACAAAAAAATCCATTATGTTAAGGTTTTTAGAAAATATTCAACAATTCAAGGGGTATGAATACTTTTGAAAAGAACTACAGCTTTTAGAATTTAAGACGAAGCAACGAAGTTTTAGGTCCTAGCTTGGACAATGTAATTTGACACTGCTGCATCAATGATCCCATTCTTTTCCAGTGGCTTGAATGCCAAATAATAAAGAAAAATGTGTCCAGATTAGTATTGTCAATTGTTGTAAGGATGACTGTGACATAAATGTATAAACAAACACAAACAGAGTATCTTTGGATTTGCAGCCATTTTAGCTTTGTGCTGATCTGCACAAAAAACAAAACCAAAAAAAAAAAACCCCCCAAAAAAAACAAAACAAAACCACATCCATTTTAAATTCACTGCAATGCGTTTTTAATTTAGTCTGACCAAATGAAAGAACCCCTTTAGGTGGTCTGCTTTGTGCAAGCGTGGTCTTTACTACACCCAACTCCCCTGTCAGCTTTGAATCTGCAGTTGACACATTTCTAAGTCAACTGCAGTCCATATATCTATGTGTGCTCTTTGTTTCATGGGCCATCATAGTTCAAACATGCATTTAGGGCAGAGGAAGGAGTGACAGACGTGCACATTTCATTGACATGTCTACTATCTTATCTATGCAGAGAGTAGAGTGCATTACATCTTCTACTAGTTGAGCAAAACAAATAAGATAAGTGGATACTTACCTTCTTTAGGAGGCCGTCTTACTTCTGCACTCAGATTGCAGATTTGACCGACATGTAGCTGAGGTGACAAGCAACCCTCCGTTTGTGGGTTTAAAGGTAAAACCACATTATTGAGCATGAGCATGCTCTCTGATTCTCCATCGCCTAAATGCTGAGGACATGTGCATTTGGTGTACACGATCCCACATGCCTCCACTGTCCCTTTCTCTGCTTTCAGGCAGTTTTCCAGCCACGTACAAAGCACTTGACACCCAAACTGGCTAGGGCTCGCCTTATTCAATACTAAGAACTCCAGGATAGACTGCTCCTCCTCATCCAGCTTCTGTGGCGTCAATCCATTGTAATCGTAAGGAAAAACTCTCCGGAGCTGAGCAAAATTTTTGTCGTACAGCAAAAATATGTAATTATTCTTTGAATCACAGAGATATACAATGGATGCGTTCACTTTGAGCAACTCGTTTATCTTCTCGTGTGAGTAGTGATCAAACTGATAAGCAAGCAAAGAGTACTCGGAGCAGCTCAAGTCTCGCTTGTATAGTTTAAGGTAGATGCTGTATTTGGTTGGGTCTGGGTTCTCCAGCGTCCACGTACAGTTTGTGTAGTTCTTGGGAAACATTTCAGACACCGAGTATGATCCATAAATGACCCCCTTGACCAGAGTGGAACACCAATAATCTTGGGCACCAGTTAATCCAAACATAACCAGAAGATAGGTGGAAAATATATAAATCAACAGGTTTCGAACAGCCTTCATCCTATGTCATTTGGCCTGCAGGGAAAGATGAAGAACATCATGCAAAAAGAATATTAAATCAGAGCACAGACACATTATGGATGATTTCTGTCAAGTCTAATTGACATGCTTCACATAGTTCTCGCCAAGTCCTTCCATGGAGAGGGTGAAAAAAGACACATTAACCTCAGCAGCATGTCTTTTGCAACCCCCTCATCCTGTCTCCTTTTTCCACTATACTTTGTGCAAACATTGCCACCTTGTGGCAGCTTAAGCCCTTTTGTGTTTTTTTTTTTTTAATTTTATTTTATTTATTTATTTTTGAGGGAGGTGGGCGCAATAATGTGAGTCATTTAGACATTATTAATTGGGTCATATTTGGATTGGCACCGTCTCAGGAGATATTCGCATATAGCTGTTTAGAATGGCATACTGATCAAACACAAACTACGAATATTGGCATGGAGGTCCTCACGAGTTTTAGTATGCGACGGTTTGTTGTTTGTTTTTTTTTTATGCAGTAACCAGGATCTTTTAAGTCAAACTGTATTCTTTTGACTATAGGCTGGACAGTCAGACAATGAGAGGAGGGTGAATTTCATTTAAAAAAAAAAAAAACATAAATAAGCCAATATGTCATTAATGCATCCTCATGCATGACTATAGTTTTTTTGTTTTTTTTTTATTATCTCTCTCTCTTTCCTTCTACGCGCTTTCAGAAATACGCACGAACCTGCTCTCGAATTCAGAGCTTGGCATATTTGATAATGTAATTTGATAAAGAGCCAGTATTTGAGTGGGTTTGAGCGTGTGTGTTGGCGCGTGCGCGAGTGTTGCATGAACGCAGGCCCATGAGAGGGGAGAGGGAGAGAATGCAATGCGATGTCCTGATTGCTTTAATCCTACAGGCAATGCAGCTGTGAGCAGTGTCACAGCAGAATGTGCATGCGTGTGCGCGATTCTCAAACCGTGTGTACCCCCTGTGTGCGCGCGCACGTGTGTATGTGAGTGTAGGCGTGAAAAAATCCCAAAGTAGGCTGCAGATTGCAGTTTTTCAGAGAATAAATACATTTGCGTCTCCCAACTTCTTTTAGGATGATGATGACGGAGGGGGGAAGCGGGGGGGGGGGAGCTCTCCGTTCGAGCAGACTGGCATAATATGTGTCATGTAAGGATTTGCGGAAGCTGTGCAGAGTTAGATCAGCTTTTGCTGCGATATGTAAACCCATATGATCCCACAGCCCTCCCGCAAGATTT